ATGCCCACCCCTGGTTAGAACAATCCAAATCTCCAGGTCCTTCTCGGATCCTCTCCCCCTCTCCACAGAGAGGGACATCCTCATCCTCAGCCATCAGCAACGTTAGTTAAGCAACAGCCCAGCTTTCGAGCAACCCAAGGTCTCGAGCAACCCAAGTGACACCAGGGACAAAGATGTATGGGGGAGGTGGGGAGATCCGATGATGACATGTCTTCCTGCAAGCTGAGAAGCTGCAAATGAATGGGATACATACAGTTGAATGAATGGAGAAAGTATGAGAGCTCTTGGTCATTAAAGGGGCTGCTTTGAATAGTAGTTGGAAACACATTTAGAATATCTAAAAGAAGCACTTTCATACTCATCATTCTCATTTTTTTTTTTGACACTCTTCCTCTTTTTCTTTACCTTTTTTTTCTTTGTTTGCTTGCTTCTTAGCAAGTCTTAGCTGATTCTCTTAGCTAGAAGGGTATCTGCTAACACAAAAGTCAACAAACTCACAGGAGACAAAAGACATTCTTGGTTTGATTGGTCCTAACAAACTTCAGTCCTTCCAGACCACATAATGTCATAGAGTTATTTGTAATGCTTCTTTAAAAGGGTGACAGGGTTCAGAAATAAACTGCACATGGTACAAAGAGTCTCCCATGGGTTATCCCTGCAAAATGCGTTGCAAGGCTTTGGGAGTGGTGGTGGTTTCCGGCCATTAGTGTTACTAAATCAAGGCCAGCTTTGCATTTCTGGGCATCTACACAAATCAGGATGATACATGCTATGTTCACTCAAGCAACCCCGCTGATTTCTTCAAGGTTACGCTCAAACAAAACTTTGCGTCAATTATCTTTGGAATGCTTCATTATTTTTATATATCCTAGAGATAGAGTCCATGAAGTAGACACTTTAGGTCCATGGGTCACAAAAATCATATTTAGTGCTTCATGCCCACATAAAGCAATTACTGTCAACTCTCAATTAACCTCGTTATCAGAGGAAGCATTAATGGAGACAATACAAATCCTAGATAACTTACCCATGTCTTTCTTGTTGCCATAGTTGCAGCTAAGGTGAGAGAGAGAGAGAAAGAGAGAGATAATGGGAGCAATAGGCAAAGCTTGGGGATCAGAGGTCTCTTTAGGAAAATTTGAGTGGAGGTGCCACTCTGCCCCCTTATTATGCCCCTTACCTCTCTGCCCTGCATCAGGAAGCAAAAATAACATGACTTTTCCTGCAAAGTTCTGGCTGACCAACAAAAGGTGAGAAGCAGAAGAAGCCAGGAGAAAGTGGGGTGAAGGGGAGGTACCCTGCGAGGCTGGCAATCACTGGCAGTCCGAGCCTGGAGGCCTCCGGGGACCACAGGCAGGTTCTCAGCGGGGGTTGTGCACCTTGGTCCTTAGGAAGCTCCAGCCATGTTCAAGGCTCTCGGGCACTGGGCAAGTGCTCGAGTGTTGTGCTCTTTCAGATTTCGACTGTGTCAACCAACATAGTAAAAGGTGTTTAATTATAAATGTCATAATTAATCGTTTGCACACATGATAAGCATTCTTACGGTATAGATGCCTACGGGATAGGGACATTCCCATCAAATCAGGTTGCAGGCATGGATGCTCTCCCGTCCTTCAGAAGAAACGTCCCAGGCCAGGAGCCACAGGAACGGTAAAGATGACCCCTCTTCATGTGATTTCAAGTGGTTCTGCTCAAGAAAGGGTTTTCCATTTTAACAAGGAAGAAAAACTTCAGTGGTAAAACCACACTGAAATTCCAGACACTAGTGAGTAACTAAGGGTCTGGCAGAGACACAAGAGGGGCAGAAGAGAACCTCCGAAGTCACAGCAAAGACAAGAGCACACCAGAAAGGAAAGCTAGGACGTTAACTTGGGGAAAGGAGGGCAAAAAATCATAAAATTATGTTTTAATGAAAAAAAACTGTGTTAAAATGCTTATAAAGAGACACATTTGTGTCCTTTGTAAATATAACTTTGCTATAAAATGAATGGGGTCTGGCTGGAAAGAAGCTATTTATCAGTTTTTTGCCTCAGAATGAATTTCTGTGAGAAACTGGGGGAATAGATGCAAAAACTCAAATGACAGTAAGAAACAGTGGAAAACATAGGAAGATTTCTGGAGAATATAGGCCAGAATTCTTCCTAATACTAAGGGGAGACAGAGACAGAAAGAGAGAGAGAGAGAGCAATGTAGCAGAGGGACTTCAAAAAGTGCGACCCAGCAATCCCACTACTGGGTATTTACCCCAAAGATACAAATGTAGTGATCCGAAGGGGCACGTGCACCCCAGTGTTTAGAGCAGCAATGTCCACAATAGCCAAACTGTGGAAAAGAGCCCAGATGTCTGCCACAGACGAATGGATAAAGATGTGGTTCATATATACATGTTACTCAGCCATCAGAAAGGATGACATCTTACCATCTACACTGACATGGATGGAACTGGAGGAGATCACTCTGAGTGAAATAAGTCAATCAGAGATTGATTCATGAGATTATTCACTCACATGTGGAATATAAGAAACAGCACAGAGAATCATAGGGGAAGGGAGGGAAAACTGAACGGGAAGTAATCAGAGGAGACAAACCATGAGAGCAGCTTAACTATAGGAAACAAACTGAAGGTTGCTGGAGGGGAGATGGGTGAAGGATGGGGTAACTGGGTGATGGATGCTGGGGTGGGCACGTGATGTGATGAGCACTGGGCATTATATGCAGGGGTGAGTTACTGAACTCTATATGAAGTAGAGATCTAATACTTGCTGATGTAATGAAACGAATGATGTAATATTTGTTGGCTAACTGAATTTTAAATAAAAAAAAGTTCAGGAAAAAGAAAAGGCAAGTGTCTGTAAAAGGGAAATGACGCATGATAACAGGGAAGATTATGAAAAATGTGAATATTGACTCTAAAATATCAGTGGGTAAGCCAAAAATAAGAGTTAAAGAAATAAATGAAGCTGTTCATCTGGTTGATTCATTATTCTTTAAAATTCTTCCATGAAGCTCATCAGGGTGGGAAGGGGCATACGCCTGGAATGAAATGTGATGTGACTTCTGGGTTAAAAAGGAGGGGTGAAATTAAAGGTATAATTACTTCTCATCCCTTTTTCAAAACACAGAGAAAAGAACAAAAATAGTGAGATAGAGTAAAGTATCAAATATGATCAAACAAACAAGCAAACAAACAAAAAGTCCCCATCCTCTTTACAAACCATGAGGCGCACATGGACCAAATTCAGAAAAGACACTGAAAGCTGATGGGTATCTTGAGTCTCAAGCAGATGCAAAGTTTCTGGCCAAAGTAAAGTCAAAAATGTCTAAAGGGCATAGGCAATCTGCCTTTGATGAGAGTGCTAAGAGGCACAGTTTAAGCCCTAGAGACAAAGTTTGATATGGCATAACAGCGGGAGAGGCAGAGCTAAGAGAAAATGTGTTAATACTGTATTCCTATTTACTTTTGTATTGTGTTACTGTATTCCTTCTAGCCAAGGAAGGCTTCCAGAGGCAATGACATGCCTACAGAAATTGCAAGGGAATAAGACAGCAAAAAGAAAGAAAAGGTGCACAGGCTTGGATTTTCTAGGTAATTCTTTCATGCACAGAGTATAAGCCTTTAAACTTTATGCCAATGGAAATTTTCTCTTTGATGATTATTCTGATAGAAAGTATTTGAATTTTATATGTCAAGTCCAAAGAAGGAAATACTAAATAGTATGGAAAGCATCTAACTGTCAGGTTAAGCAACAGAATTTGAGAGATTTGCTAGATGGTTTCAATATGAGCACCTATTTATTTTTTCAAAGGAAAAACATGAGGGAATGAGCAGAGGAGTGTGATCAGATTACAAGAATCTCCTTGTGTTGCTTTCAAGAGCTAAGGACTACTTTATCCAAGAAAATACAATTCAGTACACAGGAAAAGCAATTCAGTGATAATCTGGGTATTCACTAATTGGTCTTAGAACAAGCATCTTCTGCCAGTTATAGATCTGGAAGGATTTAAAAAAAAACAACTTTCTGACTCTGCCTAACATGGACCTTGGGCTTGATACACATTCTAGACCAGATCACCTGGGCCTGTTTTTTCTATACAATGGCTGGCAAAGGAAAGGTCTGAATTTGAATTAGGTAACACGCTCTTCCTTGTTTTCACAATTTGAGATTTAGAGGAGTGCTCTCCCTCTTTTCCTGGAGATCCACAGGTTAAAATCTATAGAATCTCATTGGGCTCTGGCCCTTTAAAGAAACATGGTTTATGGACGGATCATGGATGATTAACGGACTTGTGAAGGAAGTCAAGCAATGGAGGGACTCTAACAGAAAATAATGAAAATCAATGAAGCCAGAACAGACCCAAACATAAAGCAGCATTTACTTAAGTGATATTAGCCAATGGCACAGTCAGGAGAGCAAAGCAGTATGAGCTAATGACTTCCTCTCTCAAGTTTAAAAAATACTAGAATGGTCATAGACCCAAGGACCATACATTTTAAGTTCGGGCTGCTAAAGACACTGCTATGGGTTGAACTGTGTTTCTCTAAAATTCATATGTTGAAGTCCTAACTCCCCAGTATCTGGGAATGTGACTGTATTTGGATGTAGGGCCTTTCGAGAAGCAGGTAAGATTAAATGAAGTCAGTGAGGGGTCCTAATCTGATATGACTGATGTCCTGATTGGAAGAGGAGATTAGGGCACAGACACACATGTGAGGAGATCATGTGAGGATACAGAGAGAGGAGGCCACTCACTGGCCAAGGACAGAAACCTCACAAGAAATCAGCCTTGTGGATGCCTTGATCTTGGACTTCTAGTCTCCAGAACTGTGAGAAAATAAATGTCTGTTGTTTGAGCCCCCAAGTCTGCAGTGCTTTGTGACGGTAACCCTAGCAAACTAATTCACAAACCTGCTATATAACCAGCCCTTCTTTTTCTCTTAGAAGTCTGAAATAAGACCCAAGTTTTTTTTTGTGGTTAGATGCATTCTACATCATACTCACAACCCCAACAGGAAAGGCCAGGACGGCTAACATCCAGTCCCGGAGAGAGATGAGCTTCTTGAGCTGCCTTTCTTGTTCTTGGTTCCCACTTCCTCTAGTCAGGAGACTGGAAAGATCAGTCAGCACGCAAATGCCAAAAAAGACAGCCTGGATGACCTGGAGGGAGACAACAGCTGGTGTTAGTCAGGAAGATCTAAGAAGGCCCCAGCTGTAGGACAAGCGAGCAACAACTTTATGACAGACATCTGATAAAAGAAGACCAGAAGCATACTTAAAAGACTAGCTACAAAAAAAAAAAAAAAAAAAAAGAGGAAGATATTTACAAATTGCTCTCATGGGTGAGAGAATTCATCCTAAAAACACTGCTTCCATTTTTGCTCACCTCAGGACACGTACAAAATAAGCATGCACATACACATCTAAATAGGTCCAACAGAAAACAGTATCAAATATCATAATGACATGTCCATTATTTTGAAAATATCATATCTATGATCTAGTTATATTGACTAGTGGGGTTTAACAAATATTGAAGAAAGACAAAGAAAAGAATCAGGGTAGCCTGAATAAGAAACAAGACACTTTTGTCTAAATGTGAAGAACTCTTCCTATGCTTTAATCTCCTAAATTTAGAAATTTTCTTGCCAAAGCTTCTAGTCCTTGATTCACAATCAAATGAATGCAATAATCAAAACTGGTACAGAGCAATTTTCTGTTGTCAAACCTAAATGATAGCACCTCTTTCTCAGGTTTTCTGTTTTTGTAGAATAAAATCTTCCCAAAGTAATATAAACAGAGATAAACCACACTATATTCCCCAAAAAGCTTTCTGTTGTACATTCCCAAATCAATTACAAATTAAATTACTTACATCAGCTACGTGTAACTTGGATTGTTACAGGGAGGACTCTGAAACACTACAATTCAGTAATCTGTGAAATTCCCAAAGTGGGGGCAAAAGTATTAATGACCCAGAGCTGTGAGTAGAGGCAGGAAGCAACTGTCATATAGCTTAGCAAATGATAATTCAAATTATGGAAAGGACAGAAAATACATTCCTTAGGCTTAAAAAGACATCCATTTAGCACCAAGAATAGATTCAGGGTAATTTTTCTGGCTTCTTTTAACAGAAATCATTTACTGATGGCATATTTATAAGAGATACGACTTTACTCACGACTTCTTTAGAAAACAACAAAAAGTGTTGTATAAATGTCCATGTTGGCGGTGGAAAGAACTTGTGATTCAGCGGATCAGTGCATGAGCTCCTCACTGAGGCACAGAACAAAGGGAACAAAGACCCTCACAATCATGTGGTTACATCCTTTAGCATAGTACTCCACACTCAGATTCTCAATCATTCTGTTCAAATTCTTATGTAAGCCATTTTGAAAATTCTGAATGAAGGAGATTCCATTGCTGACCTTAGTGAGATAAAAATCCTGCAGTATTTTTACATAAACTGCCACCGCGATGGTCTTCCAAGCTCACCCAATCATGTCATTATTAACCAATCTTAGCTAGAGTAATGTTCTCTTCCTTCTCATACCTTAGCCTGTCTTATAGCTTCACTGACTTAAGGTTCATTGTTATTCTTTCTACAACCAGAAACCCCAGAGTGGGAGAAGCTGAGTCTGCGATTACTGAGCATGTCCCAACTGAAGGGGTGGCAAGAATCATGTTGTGATGACCAGACATAATTTCAATGACTCAGGGAATAATTTTACACTTAGGAAAACTTTCCATACCATATCTTATCACTTTAGATGTTTGATCTTTATGTCAACCCTAAAGGGCTTTGAGAAATTGGAGTAGCCCAGCTGGGGAATAATAATCTTCATGCCAGTTTGTGAACATATGAAAAGGTGTCCTACCTGATCAATTATCAGGAAAATGCAAATGTAGATGACAGTGAGATAGCATTTCTCACCTATATAATTATCTATAATTTAATTCTCACAATATCACTGGTTATATAGATGTAGAACAACTGGAAACCCTACAGTGGGAATGTAACTTGGGACAACCCCTTTGAAGAATACTTGGCAATATCTAATGATTTAAAGATGTATATACCCTATTATCTAGTGACTTCATTACAGAGGGTATTCCCTTACTGGAACTCTCATACATGTGTTCTTGTCACATTCACACAAAAGTTAATTTCTGCATTCATTGCTTCAAAAAAGTCAGCCTATATGTCTCAATTATTGACTGGATAAATAAACAATGCTATATCCATACAATGGAATTCCAAACATATCTGTTTTTCATTGTCACAACAAAACATTAAACAAAAAAGGAAATTAAAAAAAAAAAAGGTACATTTTGCCAGCATTAAAATAAATTTCAAAAGAATGCAAAGATAATTTTAAGGATGCATGTATATAAAGTAAAATATGAAGAAATCCATGAAATTAATAGCACTGAATTCAGGTACCTCTATAAGGAGGAAAAGATTTGGGGCACTTGGGTGGCTTAGTTGGTTAAGCATCAGTCTTTGGTTCTAGTTGTGATCCCAGGGCCCTGGGATCAAGCTCCTGCTTCCAGCTTCCTGCTCGGCAGGGAGTCTGCTTCTCCCTCTCTCTTTGCCCCTCCCCCTGCTTGTGTCCTCACTCTCTCTCATGAATAAATACAATCTTAAAAAAAAAGAGGGTAAGACTGGAGGAAAGACACAAGGGCCTCAACTGTATCAGTAATACTTTATTTCTTAACTTGATTATTTAGGGATATAGAAGTTTATTGTATTATTTTCTATGTACTTCATTATTATGAAATATTTCCAAATACCTTAAAAATAAAAGGTAAACAGAATGGTTTTCATACTTTGGGGATGTAGTTGGCTAGTCTCTTTCAGCTGTTATGCTTTTAACTCAAGTTTCCTCTATTTTAAAGATGGGCTAGTGATAGCAGGATTTATTGAACTCCAAATGAAGTGAATTTTAAATTTCATGATCAAGTAACTGCTACCAGAGTTGCCTTCCCAGTATAAACAACTAGACATTTGTGCTAAATATATAAATCACCTTTTTCATATACTGAACTTTTTCCTCTGCAATCAGCCAAGAAATCTTTTTTAATTAAATGGCTCACCTGATGAGGTCAGGCCCACCTTGAGTAATTCTCCCTTTGCCACATAAAGTATTGTAATTACAGAGTTGGTTGTACTCACAGGATTTTAAAAAATCCCATGGGAGGAGATTATACAATGGTGAGTATCGCTGAAAGTCATTTAATTATTCCATATACCACAAGCTATGGGTTAAATAATTTTCAGAGCTCACGCAGAATGGAGAGTTATTCAAGTTCTGACCAGAGAGGCCTTACTGACTACAACAAGCATTCAGTAGAGACCTAAGAAGTTTATTACCTAAATAGTGATGTTAAAGTAGCCTTGAAATAAAAGCTACTTTACATCCACCCCCAAAATACTTCAAAACAATCATAAAAAAAAAAAGCTGACCTACAAGTAACTTAAATACCTGCAAAAACAAAATTCTACAATTTTTAAAAGATTTTTATTTATTTATTTAATTGACAGAGATAGTGAGAGAGGGAACACAAGTGGAGGGAGTGGGAGAGGGAGAAGCAGGCTTCCCATTGAGCAGGGAGCCCAGTGTGGGACTCAATCCCAGGACCCTGGAATCATGACCTGAGCCGAATCAGACACTTAATGACTGAGCCACCCAGGCGCCCAAAATTCTACAATTTTTAAAGAAATATATCAAAATCCAGACATTTGGCAATATCCAACATTATAATATTCAACATCTAATCAAAAATTACTAGATTTTCCAGGAAGTAAAGATATCTTTAACCAAGAGGAAAACAGAGAAATAAAAACAGATATTGAAATGACAGAAATATTGGAATTAATAGACAGGAACATAAATCACTAAATTAAACTAAGTTCAAGAAGTTAAATGAAAATAATGAGTGAAAATAAAAAAGATATTAAAAAGAACCAAACTGGGGGCACCTGGGTGGCTCAGTCAGTTATGCAGCTGCTCAGGTCATGATCTCAGGGTCCTGGGACTGAGCTCCACAATGGGCTCCCTGCTCAGTGAGAAGTCTGCTTCTCCCTCTGCCTCTGCCCCTCCCCCCTGCTCATTCTCTCTCTCTCTCTCTAATAAAAAAAAAATCTTTAAAAATTTTTAAAAAATCATAAAAGAACCAGACTGAACATTTAAAAATTAAAGAAACTGCCTGAAACTTGAAAGTCACCTGGTGGAAATAATAGCAAATTAGACACCTGCAGAAGAAGAATTTAAAAATCGAATATAAAGTGTCATAAACTATTCAAAATGAATCACAGAAAGAAAAAGATTTATGTGGCACCTTGGTGGCTCAGTGGGTTAAAGCCTCTGCCTTCGGCTTAGGTTATGATACCAGGATCCTGGGATAGAGCCCCAGGCTCTCTGTTCAGCAGAGAGCCTGCCTCCCCCCTCTCTCTGCCTGCCTCTCTGCCTACTTGTGATCTCTGTCTGTCAAATAAATAAATAAAAAGAAAAGAAAATTGAAAAAAAAGAAAGAAAAAATTTTTAAATATCAACAGAGTCTCAATGAACTGTGAGAAAATGCCAAATGGACTAACCTATGTGTATTGGAGCCCTAAAGGGGCAAGGAGGGAGAGGGAGGGATCTAGAAAAAGTATTAGAAGAAATAAAGGCTGAAGTTATTCCAAAACGTCATTAAAACTATAAACCCACAGATCCAAGAAACGAAACAAATGGAATACACACAAAGAAAACTACATCAAGGCATAGTACAATCAAACGCTGAAAAACTAACACTTTAAAGCCACTGGAGGAAGGGTGCCTGGGTGGCTTGGTCAGTTGAAGGTCCAGCTCTTGATTTTGGCTCAGGTCATGATCTCATAGTCCTTGGAGCCAGCCCTACGTCAGGTTTTGTACTCAGCAGGGAGTCTGCTTGAGGATTCTCTCCTTCCCCCATTTGCACACACATGTGCTCTCTCTCTCTAAAATAAGTTAATAAGTCTTAAAAAGAAAAAAAAACAACACTGGAGGAAATAGATATATCACAATCAGAAATATAAAGATAAGAAACTTCAGACATTTCATGTAGAACAACACAAGCCAGAAATCCATGGAATGATATCTTAAAGCCCTATAAGGGAGAAAATTTCTCAAAGATGA